GTCGCGGGCACTCCAAATTCTTTCTTCACACAACTACACAGCAAACACACGCAGCACCTCTCTCTCTCTCGACATGACGACGCTACACACACACCCGCACTGGATAATCCCTCTATCCAAAACCTGGAAAATCACACTATCAATCAAAATACAACAACGGACTACGCATTTGCTTGTGCCAACTTACAACACCTCGTTACTCACACTACCAACACTCCTTCGGAACACACAATTCATCACCACACTCTCTCTCTCTCAACTACTGATTTCGACTAGTCATTCGGCATCTTATTTCTCTCTCCAGATCTAGTCAATTCTAATTCTACAGTAAAACTCATTTACTTTTCACCGAGGGACACGCAACCGTCTCTCACACACACGGGGCGCAGCGCGAACAGTGGTTGGTACTTTGTGGGGTCACACTGACAATAAAGGGAAGAAACACTTAAGAAAAAGTTTGTAACCCCACATTTTCTCAGAAATTAATATAGACAACCGTATAAAGCACCAATATCTTCTCTCAGCATTCAGCACTGAACACACTGCACGACGTACCGCTCACTACCCACTCTATCACACACTATTTACTACACACGCACTCTGAGGAAGTTTTTCTACTGTCACACTATACCACACACACTGCTTAGCTGACCTCTCTCACAATAACACGACACACATGTCAAATAATATTTAATTTGACAACTGCACTCACTCTTTTTTCGTCACACTCTAACACACCAATTTCTAGCTACGCTACTCTTCTCTCACACCCACACACAACGCACTCTCTCTCACACAACACACACACGCAAATCTCCTCACATGCCACACACACACGCATCTCTTCTCCTCACACATCTCTACGCACACAACACACGTCACTCTCTCAGCATCACTCTGAAACACGTGTAGACCAAAACCTCAGTAGGACATAGAACAACAAACTGCTAGCGTTCTAAACTACCAACAACACACACACACACAGCACGCACACTCATCCTCACTTCAACCAGCACCACACTCGTCTTTCTCTCACACAGCACTCTCTCCTCAACAACACTCTTCTCTCTCCATCTCTCCACACACACGTCAACTCACTCTCATCACACACACACCACCTCTGCTTCACAAACCACAACACACACACTCTCTCACATACAACACAGCACGAACACCATCATCACACTCACACATCTCTCTCTCACACACCACACAACACTCTCTCCACACGACCACACACAGCACACACTCTCACAACACAACACAACTAACTCTCTCACACACACCACACGCCCTACTCATCCTTCTCATCACACTCCACACACACACACACACTGAACACACACCTCTCACTACACACACACACACACTCTCTCTCACAACACAGCTCACGCATCTGCTCTCTGGCACAAACACGCAATCTCATCTCTCACACACACATCTCAACGCACTCTCTCTCACAGCTCTCTCATCGTCACACACATCACACGACACACGCACTCTCTTCACAACCAGACACACACACAGCCAACACTCCTTCTTTTCAGCACACACAACTAGACGCACTCTCCTCTTACACAGTCACTCTCTCTCTCAACACACACACTCTCTCTCTCACACACAATTGACCTCTCTCTCACACACACACTCTCTCTGCACACACACACTTCTCCTCTCACACACACACTCTCTCTCCAACACACACACAACTGCTCTCTCACACACACACTCTCTCTCACACACAAACTCTCTCCACCACCACATACCGACACTCTCTCCTCACACACACACTCTCTCTCACACCACAACTCTCTCTCACACCACCAGGCATTACACACGACCAGCACCTCTCTCTCACAGCCACACACAGCACGACCACAACGCACTCTCTCTCCACAACACACACACGCACTCTCTCTCACACACACACACACACACACTCTCCTCGTCTCATCTCTCACACACACACACACCTACATCAACATGCCGCACTCCTCACACTCATCCACACAACAACATCATCACATCCGCATCACCTACGAACATCACTTCCTCTGCTATCTACAACACACAACAGCAGCACACACACACTCTCTCCAGTCAAACTACACTCCACACTCTCTCTTCACTTCAACGAACAACACTCTCTCTCACACATCACCATGCGCACAACGCATGTCACCTCTCTCTCACACTACTCCTCATCACACACACTACACGTCACGCATCTTCACACACCGATCCACTGCCTCTCCACACACTACACCACACAACTCTCTTCTCACACAGCACACTCTCTCTCACACACA